AAAACAAAAAAAGAAAACCCACCAAAACCCCAAACAAACACAAAAAAAAAAAAAAACCCACAAAAAAACAAAAGTCATGTTCAGTGTCCATTTTCAATGCTCTGTTAGCAGAATCAACATTTCTCTCCACAGTTATGTGTAAGACTGATTAAACTAGTGAAAAAAGCTTTGGTAGGGCCACACAAGTCAATGTGCATAAATACTTGGGAACCAGAAAGACACTGATTTCCTGTGCTCTTGTTCTAGTATACAATAGCAAGAAAAAGCTACACAGCTCAGAAAACCTAAAGGTTTGCCCACCTAATGTCATTTTTTACATGTCTAAACTTCCACATGGAAGTTTAACACAACTTACACTCAAGTATTCTCACTTCTCATTTTAAGGGGAACTGAGCTTAGGGCTATCTATCTAAATAGTAAGAACAAATTCAGGGAAGAAGAGTCTTGCAATAAAAATTTTGGTCTGATTTTCTGAATAATATGTAATGTTTTGTCTTGAACTAGTCAAACAAAAAGCATAGTTCAAAGGTTAAAAACTAAGACTCGGGAAATCCAAATTTGCATTTTCTTTATCAAACCTCCTTCATAATTCTAGATAACAATTTAGTAAAGAGGCTGTGTTTGCAGACCCTTCACTACTAAAAGCCATGCATGCACACTAAGAACAGTAGCATTTATTTTAGGCATTCGTCCAAACAGAAGCTAATCTGACAAAAAGCACTCCTCTGTCTGCACAGTCAAATTTGTAACTGAGGTTTTGTTAACTTACATAATTTAGAGTGCAGTATTTTCATGTTCCCAGCCAGCACAGATACCATTAAAAACAAGTCTTAAATAACCAAAATCCAAACACTTTCTTATTTATTCAAATACTTCACACTGAAGTTCTCTGTGCTATTTTTACAGATCATATCAGATTTGCTACAATAGATGCTAATCTGAGCTAAAAATATTTCAAGCACAGTGGTGTGTTTAATTCCCAACCACAACAAATTACCTCATTGAGCACTTCCATGATTTCTTTGTCATAGCATTCCAGAAGCACCTCATAAGATTCCAAGTGTCTTGCATGCATCATAGCAGGTACACAGTCCCGTAGTGCACTAAACATATACTTATTAAATATATATACATTATTAACAGAAAGATATGTCACCAGCACCTCAAATAGTGTACAAAGCTAACAAAAATCAGAATCACTAGTCTTCCCATTTTTATTAAATATTGACTTCATAAACCCTACTGAAGTGCCCTGTCCTTAATCTGAGGTATTATTTGCTACTGACTGGAAGATCCTAATTATTAGCTATTTCATCAGAAATTACTTGCACTTAATTCATTTCAGCACTGTACAACTCTGGAACAGATGTCTGATTTTTATCAGGATTATCATGCCAAAGCATGATTCACATCTGCAGCAAATACACAGCAAATACTCCCTCAACAAGGGGAGAGGAAATAAAGAGTGGAAAAAACTACAGGACAACTATCCAACACAGAATCACTGAACACAGTGATATCTGCTTTAGAAATATGTAACCACAAAGAGGAACAAAGGCTTTTAATGTTCAAGTCTAGCAGGTGTTAATTTCAAATTAGACTGAAGAGAGGAACAAAGAGACAGTCAGGCACAAAGTTAACAACAGCAACCTGAGATTTTTTACAGCCATATAATAGGCAGATTTAGAAAAAAGATTGCTTTTATATCCTTCAGAATTAGAAGAAATGTCTGACTCAGTAGCAGTCAGGGATTTGCTTCTTGAGCTTTTCCTTTAGGAGCTTCAGCCTAGTGTTTATCATCTCTTCATCTGAATCTGTCACAACAGTTAGTAAGTTGTAACATTACTTACATGTAGTCTAGCAGAATCCACTGCATTTTCATAGACATCATCTAAATAGATTGGAAAGACGGCTCGATGCCAGTATAAGAAACAACAGTCACACTGTGCTCGAATTCTGGAATAAAAGATTAATTGTTAGACACAGATTTGGAAGAAACCATTCTTCTAACACAGGGAGCATGTTTAAACTAAAGTGATTTTCAAGCCTAAGTTTTACACCATTACTTTAATGCTCCAGATGCATTGACCTTCAGAACAAAGTTCTTTATTACAGAACTTTTTCTTTTTTTTCCCACTAGTTTATCTATAAATAAAAGGTACTTGCTTTAGAGAAAAGGTTTACTCAGTCTCTCAAAGACTTAAATCTTAGATTATAGCAAAGTCCTAAATAACTGTTTTCTTACTACATGCAATTTAGTAGCCTAGAGATCAAACAGATATTCTAAATTTCTTCTGTAAGCCAAAGGAGAAACAGGCCTCTCCTGATAAAATCCTGGGATAAATGCAGACAGATTTTATCTCGTGAGTCAACCACTAAAGGTGTTTGTCTCTCTCCTAAAAACTGCATGGAACCCAGATATTCACTTGGCTTACAAATGGCCACCATGATGTAACCTGAGTGTGCACTGAAACTACAACAGCAGCAAAACATGGTTCACGTGTAAACCAGCAGCCCAATCTCCCAAACAGAGTGGTACTAACTCAGAAATTTTGGGGTTGGGTGAAGGGGAACACTTCAGCTTATCATAAAACCACATCATCCAATAAAGTGACAGAATTTCTAAACAAGCAACAGTCAAGTGAAATATGACTTGCCCAAAGACAAGTAAGCTTCTGGCTTAACTCTAGAATTCTTTCTTCCATTCCTGGTCTATAAAACATGCAAAAATCACATGCAGGGATCAGATTTTGCAATTTACACAGTGAGGATCCATCTTCCCCAAGGAACTGTGCTGCCTTCTATGTACTGCTGTCACTGCTTACCTCTCTGTAAGTTCACTGATCAAGTCCAGTTTTTTCAGAACTAACTGAAGGGGAATAAGTTCTTCATCTTTAAATGTTTTCTGTAGAAATGAAGAAAAAAAATAAACATGAGATCACGAGCAGGTATTTTTTCATAAGACACTCCACAAAACAAATGAAGGGCTGGAACAATCATGGCACTTACCATCTGTGTTCCCACACTCAGTGCAAGGGAAACAATCAGTCGCCTCTGTCTTGTACTTGGCCCATTGAGGGTGTTCTCAGCCAACACCAAAGCAGAGAGGACATCCAGGCGCTGCTCACTGTACTTTTTATCAGAAATTACCCTTTTCTTGATGACAAAAAGACACAGAAATTCAGAGAAAAGTTACCTAAGCCCAAAGGCAATAGCTTGCTATTTCTTTCCGAAGCTTGTGAACTTGTCATAAATTGAGTATTTCTGCAAACAAGTTGTTTTGTGAACAGAGTTAAAGGAATCCAGATTCACCTACTCTGCCAATTCAGCAACATTACCTGTCTATACTCTTGGAATATGTGCAACCAACATGAACATAGGTTAAGTCATACTAGTGGATCCTTCTATCTACCTACATTTGCCTTTTTACATATTTTCTGGTAAGTAGTCAAGTGTTCTTTTCAATATTCTTCAATACAAAAGTTTTAGCTTATTTTTATTCATTTAAAAATAATTGTAATTACAGATATAATTTGAAAAGTTTGTTAAAGATATATATGTGAAGTGTTTGAAGATATAGTTTTTCTTAGTGACTTTGAAGTTTAGAACCTCTTTAGTTCATGCTACTCCTGCTACATAGATATATATATATATACATATATATGTATATTTTTTTATAAGTACAACTATTTTTTTGCTTACCCTAGAAAATATAGATATACCAGATACATAAATTGAGATTAGAGCCAAATAAAAAGGAAATTTAATAGCTGTACTAGTAACAACAGCATACATCCTTTGTAACTCTGCTACTGAATGTGACGAAAGAATAAAATCAATCAGTAACACATCAGAACAGGCATACTAAAGTTTCACTTTCCCCTTCACCCTAAATTCTGAAATTCAAGGTTTGACAAGCAAAATAAGCTATTTTATTCCCCCGTGAAACAGAATTTATGCCCACAGTAGGCTCCTCTAAGCCATCATGTACTGCTATTTTGCCAAGAAGACAAAGATTTAAATAACAGCCTGTTTGCTTAGAGCTGCAACAGATTGCCTTATGAATGTGCATCAGAAAAGAGGTAAGCAAAGGTTAGTTTGTGAAAATTCACTAGAAATAAAACCCAAAAAGAACACAAGAAGATGACAAGAGATGCAGCAGTTTAGAAGAGGGGAACCATTCTTGGTCAAAAACCAGGTAACCATCTATGCTGTACAGTTTTCTAGGAAAAAGCTTGGAATTACTGGAAAGCTTATATATCTCTGGATTATGATAGAGCATTACACTACCAATTTTGAAAAAAATACAAAAAACCTCTTTAATTTAAATTCAATATTTTTGAAAATACTTCAATAGGGAGATTAATTACTAGAAATTGGATTACATACCTTGGCAACAGAGATAGAGTGAAGAGCCTGATACTGCAGATGCTGAGTGATGTGTGTCACAGAGTCTGCCACAACCATGCTTCTTCGGTAAAACATATGTTCTATTGCCTGAAGTCAATCCCAAAACACATCAGTTGGCGTTAAAACTGCTGTCTTTAGAACCTGCTTTATGCTGTGTGACTCACCCACACTTTCCATTTTGTAACATGTTGTTACTAGCAGTTACAATTAACCAATAGAAACCCGGAAAATCAAACTATTCAGGAGCATTGAAAAGTTTCAGGATTGATCTAAGCTTTGTTTTCTGGTTTGAGTTTTTCCAGTTTTGTTCACCACTGCTTTCTGAAGTTATCCTAAAAAAAGAGTATCTTCCTTTTGGAAAAAATACCTAGAGAAATGTGAAGTGCCCCACCTGGGGAGGAACAATCTCCCACAAACCTGTATATACCAGGAATCACCCAACTGGAAAGCAGCTTAGAAGGAAAGTACTTGGGGGGTCCTGGTGGACAGCAGGTTGAGTGCAAGGCAGCAATGTGCCCTTATCCCAAAGAAGTCCAATGGTAGCTTTGGCTCCTCTGGACAACATTTTGCTGGCAGCTCAAGGGAGGTGACCCTTCCCCCTCTTCAGCACTAGAGAGGCCACATCTGGAGTCCTGGGTCCAGTTCTGGGCTCCTCAGTACAAGACAGAAATGGAGAGAGTCCAGCCAAGGGCCATGAAAACAATTCACAGACTGGAGCATCTCACATGTGAGGAAAGGCTGGGAGAGCTGGGGCTGTTCAGCCAGAGAAGAAAAGGCTTGGAGGGAGATCTTATCACTGTACATAAACACTTGGAGGGAGTATGCAAAGAAGATGGAGCCAGGCTCTTGTCAGAGGAGCCCAGGAACAGACCAAGGGGCAATGAGCACAAACAGAAACAGAGAAGTTTCCCTCTGAATGTCATGAAACACTTTCTTACTATGAGGGTAATCAAGCACTGTCACAGCCTGGTTGCCCAGAAAGGTTTTGGAGTCTCCACCCTTGGAGATACGCAAAAGTCATGTGGACACAGTTCTGGACAACTGGCTCTAGGTGTCTCTGCTTGAGCAGGGATAGGCTGGACCAATGATCTCCAGAGATCCCCTCCAACCTCAACCATTCTGTGACATCAACTAAGAAAGCTAGTTAGAAGCTATAAAAAAAAAAAAACCAAACCAAACAAACAAACCCTATCCTAGCCTTCCAGGTCTTCTCTAACCAAACCATTCTCAAATAAGAAGCCATGCATGCAAAACCACTTCACATGACAGTTGTTTTTTGTTTTTTTTTTAATATGGGATGTTTGGTCAATGTTCTCTGTAATTCCTACATGAAATAAATAATTTTCATCCAGTGACCTACCTTTAGAAGTTCCACAAGTCTGCACAAGGCTTTTACTGAGGTTTTGGTCATAGGTTTTTGCATTGTCATGTAAAGATTCATTGTAGTTTTAATGGTGGTGCTAAGACTGTATGCATAAAGAAAACCCTAAAAATAAGGTGAATACAAGGGGAAGAAAAATTAATAATTAATATTTCCACATGTCAATAAAATAAGTGCTCTCTGTTTTGTTCCATACATGACAGACAGCTAACCTTTGCCCCTACACAACAGAGCCTACCACTCCACTACATGAAGCAAGCCTGGAATCCAGAAGTTGAATGAGACCCTTTTATTAGCAGACATTATGAAACTGCCTATGACTCATCAGATCATCTGATTAACCTCTTCTAAAGCCACTGCAATTAAGAACAGGTTAGTGAGTTAAATAATCACAGAGCCTCAAAGGTCTAATAATTTCAGTCTATTGTAAACCAACCCATCAAACAATTCCCATCTCCCCAGGAAACATCCCATCACAAAAACAATCAAAACCTTCCAGATTCTGTGGAACAAATACACTGGCAAGTATTCACAGTTTTATACTTTCTAAATAAGATGTCCATCCCACAATAAAGATAACAATTATTTCTACATTAATATATCTAAGCTTTTAAATACAATGTTGATTGTATACAACATGACAAACAATTATTAAACTTACTTCAAAGAAAAAGTAGTAACAACAAAAAAAAAGAAAAGTAGACTAGGAAAAGACAGCAAGTGGTGTAGGAAACTCAATTCAGTATGGAGCAAATTCTTAAGTCCACTGCAACTAATTCAAATGTAAAAACCACAGATCCTAGAACATGCCTATCTTTGGCTAAAGAAGATCCAGGATCACACTTCTTTCACAAATCTATTTTCATCAAATCTCTGTCAGGTAGATAGATACTTATAGAAACCAGCAAAAAATAAATTCAGAAATAAGATGCATCTTACATTAAGACTGTTACATGCTGTTAGTAGGCCAAAAGAAAACCAGCTGTCTCAGAACATAGTAAGATTCTTGCGAAGTACCATCACTAGCAAAGCAGAATGAAACAACACAAAACCTTTACTGGGAGTAAGTACTGTCCTAAATAAAACTAAATAGACACTGGTTCAGTCCACTCTAAATACCTCACGACTCAAAAGGAGAGAAACTCAAAGCCTTTATTACAGAGAAGATGAAGTTTTCTTAACTTCTGGTGTCAAGAGAAAAATCCAAAATTCTAGCCAATGAACATTTAGATACCCTTTCCCCACATTCTTTATCAAAAAACTTTTTACAGATTTTCTTGGACAAGTATTGGGCATTAATGGTTTATAAGAATTCCAAAACTGTGAAATAACACACTTATGATCACAGAATTCCTGTGACTTCTTTTTATGTTCAACAACTTGCACCAAAACATCAGTTTGCTGCATCACCACATTAAAAGACTGCACACCTGGATGAAGACATTGCAGCGGTTGGCAAGATCTTCAGAAAACTTTGCTGTGCGTTGCTCCTTGGACAAGACAGATTCCATTTTTGTCATCCACGAGCTCACAAAAACATAATATGACTGCATATCTCTGGGGAAGGAAACAGAGAATGTTGTTCACTTCAAGTAAGAAGATTATGAAGATTCTTATTTCTTTCCAAAACTTTAAATCTTGCAAGAGAATTATTTTAAACCTTCAGTCCCCAAAATAACAGCTCAGGTTCCCAAATGACTATAGGGTTCTGATACTTTTACTCATTTTAATTCTCTACAGGTAAGGATTAGTTAGTCTGCTAATTATATTTGTACGAGTCAAAAATCATCGACTTTTCAAAAGAACACATTAGCAGTGTATATACTACACTTCCTTAAATTAAAAGGCTATATAAAACTGTTAGAAAATGCTTTTAAGCACTAGACAGAGAAGTCCAACACTGGTGCTACTTTTTTCATCCCAGTTTGAATTTCTGTTGCTTACACACACACACAAACAAATATAACTTTTCATTACATCAATGCCAGACTGGACTGCTCTTAAGTAACATAATTCTACAGAAGTTTATCTGTTTGAACTACACTAGTTGCAGTTAAATGGCTAAGTAGAGTTAAATAGAGAATTGTGACACTGTAATACAACTTCTTCCAGTACTTGTAGCAAGAAAGTATTTAGGTCATTGATCCTGTTACCAAAAATTACACCTTTTAAAAGAGTCCTTGTATTTAGGGAACAGTCCAATTAACAAAGGCAGTGCAAGGACTTGTAAACAAGCAAGAAAAAGTATTTGCATAATTCAAATCAGCAGATGCAAAATCTGGATTTTATTAGAGTATCTTCAAAACTGTGTGTACAAAGTAGGGCAACAAAGCTGGGGAAAGAGCATAAGGCCTGCAAGGGAGCTGAAGGTGTTCAGCCTGGAGAAAAGGAGGCCCAGGGAAACCTCACAGCTCTCCACAACTCCCTGAAAGGAAATTTTAGAGAGGTGGGGTCTGGTCTCTTCTCCCAAGTGACAGGCCAAGAGAAAACAGCCTCAAGTTGCACAAGAGAAGGTTTAGATTGAATATTAGGAAAATTTCTTCATCAAACAGGCTATTACGTACTGGAACAGGCTGTCTAGGGAAGGGGTTGGGTCACCATTGCAGGAGGTATTTAAAAGATGTGGAGATGTGGGCCTTGGGGACATGGCTTAGGGATGAACTTGGCAGTGCTGAGTTACAATTGGTGATCTTTCAGGCTTTCTCCGAGTTAAATGATTCTATGTTTCTATGAAATGTATGCAAATACCAAGACGTTTTTCTGAACTTTTTCCTAATCTTAAGACTTATACCACTGCTCAAGACCAGAAGCAAAGCAGCAGTGCAGTTATGCCCTACCTAGGAATTAAAGCCCAGGACAGAATCAGGGCCAGGAAAAAGTGGATTGAAAAAGAAAACAGGACAGAAGTGAAACTAATCTGTCAGGGAATCAGGTAGAGAGCTGCTTTTCCTCCTTCCCATCTCCCCAGTTCTGCCAGCTTGCTTATTGGGTTGGAAGACAATGTGCAAAATCTAAGTTTTCACTGCCATTCCACAGACCCTGGTTTACACTTTCTTGTTTTGTTCTGAAATATACAAACCTTATCCCTGTTATCTTCCTATGCAGGACACTTGTCCTTAAGACTAACAGCTAAAAATATTCCACCTCATCTTTAGGCATTTTTTAGAAGAGAAAGAAGTGATCTGCACACTACATGCAGAACACAAAACAAGAGAGGCTTTCTTCAAATACAGATAATTTCAAACACCATTAAACAAGCAATAAAAACAGTCACAAAGAAAGAAATGCTTGCAGAGAAAGTATCATCACCAAGCAGATGAAAGCTCCACTATAAGCCTACTAGCAACTTACCTCCACATAGAAAGCAGAGAGCCCTAATAAAAAACAAAGCAGCCCAGGTTACTAGACACTAGCTTAAAAAAACAAAAGGGAATTTGAAAATACAGAAACAGAAATAACTGAAACAACTATTAAAAACTGCCAGGAACATTGTTATTTTGGAGTAATAATATATATTTTTCTGAAAGCATGACATGAAAAGCAGCTTAGCTTTGACCCAAATTTTTGCAGCAACACTAACACACACACACACTCTGCTGCAGTGAAGTGGAACAAGTGACTAACACCACTGAGAGACACCACACAACATGCTACTACACTGAATGAAAAAGCCTATGTGCTTAAAAACTATTTGCCAAATAGCATCATGAGGCAGTATTTAGGAAGCCTACTTGGTAAGTGACTGTGCCCTCTGCTGTAGGAAGTTCTCCCTTTGTGTTTTAACTGTGTGAATACTTTTCTTGTCCAGTAGTTTGGCAGCAGCTGGAATCTTCTGAATCAGGAAGTTGTCAGCAAACCAGATAATGTTAGCTGTTAACGTAATGGCTGGAACCTGGGAAGATAAAAAAAGGAAGCCAAAATAATTGTGAATAAACACAACTAACACAGTTCAGTTTATTTCTGTGTAACTGTTTTCTACAGAGTATCACATTGATGTTAAAAGTTTCCCTAGATGTTCTCCAAGGACATCATGGCAAAAATTATAATCACTCTCAATGATTCCAAACAATATTAGTGAACTTAATAATTTCTTCATGCCATCCAATATGAAAACGTCCCACTCAACTTTGCACTTAGAGGCCTTCCAAAACAAGTGTTTATAGCCATGGTCAAAACCTACAGCATTTATTCAGCACCAGAACTGAACTCAGTTTTTTGTCTTCAATGCCATATTAATCTTGAGAAGAAAGATTTTAATATAAATGGCAAGTTTATTTTACCTTGCTGCTATGTGAGTGCACACATTTTAGATCATCTTTAAAAGAAAATGGGAGGGAGGAATTACCAAAAGTAGAAAATTCTTAACTCTGTTTTCAGACTTTTTTGTGTTCTTTCTTCTCCCAAGTCTGTGCTATGCTATGCAACTCAGGAAATTATCTACTTCATTACTGAAAGACAAAAGAATAAAGCATTCACCTTTTTACAGACATCCAACAATGACTTATAAAATTTCTTGTCTACAGTCCGAAAAATCTGAAAATGCAGTACAAAGAGGCCACAGATGCCCACATATTTATCTCTCTGGTCAATTTCTGAAGGTTCACCTGAAAAAGAAATACCTTTGTGAATTTTACTCCCACACAAACAATATAAACAATTTTAGAAACAGTGAAGCTGGCATGAAAAGCATGAGCTTGCATTACCAAGTTTGGCTTCGACATTTGAGAAAGCTGTACGAAGAGTATGAGCAAATTCTTCAGCAAACGTGCTGTTCTTTGACACTGACACTCCACCATTTAAAGAATCAAATTGCTGCTCTATGCAGGCCTGAGTAAAAAGGAGGAAAAACATCAATACATGAAGACAATGCCATGAGTTTTGGACCTTGAAAGAATACACGTTTTCAAGAGAATACCGGAAGAGCACACTGATTTAAGACTAACCTAAAGTAAGCCTTAATCTTCTATAACATACAGATTCTTAACTATGCTTACATTATTAAGTATAAAACCAGAAAATATTAAAACACTCTTACACTTGACATTCAAACCCCCATTCTATTTATTTTTCCATTTCCTTTAAGGAGCATTAAAAAAAAAAAAACATTTGATGAGCTAGTGCTAAGAAACTAGATGCATATTTGTATTACCACATGTGTTACTAACTGTCGTTAAAGCAAGATTAACACACAAGTCACTCGTAGGATGTGGCTCATGACCTTGCAGCATAAAATCACACACTACTGCTGGCAGTTTACAAAAGCTCCCAAAACCTCTCAACAGTAAACAAATAGAGATGCATTTCATACTTTCCAAAGAGATTAGAAAAGTATTTATTAGAACTGCATCTAATATTTTTAATGAATTTTTGCTGAGAAGAGGCATTTGCAGGACAGGAGGAGAAACTTCCTGAATGAATTCCAGCCAAATCCTATTGATGTCTCAAAACTATAATGAAGTCTTTGTACTTATACAGCATTAGGGAAATATAACGTGAAAACTGAATAGCTGGTAGCAATATGAAAGAATAAGCTAAACTGTGCTTAATTATTTACCTACAATTTCCCCTTTGAAGGCTTTTACAGAACAAGCCCTTTTTCCCTAATGCCATTTAAGATGTTATGGCAAGAGCTGAGCAAGACCCTGCTTTGACCAGGTTCAACAACATTGTCTTCTGCCCACTATACCACAACATCCCATTTCAATGTCTGTAATATACACTTTTCTAAAGAGCTGGCTTCTTGTATGAACACATTAAATTTAACTGTACTGAAAATTTAGTAAAATCCTTTCCACCTGTGCTCCTGCATGTTTCAGGGGTATGTCCCACCACAGTGGTCTCTAATGACAGCAACCTGTCTCATATGCAAGGAATGATAGGTCACACTCAACATATTCTAAATATTACTGAGGAAACAAATTAATTTGCAGCTAAAATAAAGACCTATGCTATGTAAACCTGATCCCTATTATGTGAACAAAAGCAGAATTCTGGTAATACACAGTCCTAATGCCAAGCTGTCTGTGTTTCTCTAGTTCAGCAAAACAGTCAGCATTTACTGCTACCATTCAAAGCTTGGCACAGTTCAAGCACATGAGAAGAGCAAGAAACGATCTTACAACAGAGCCTTTTTTCTCCCAGGCACAGATGCAAGAGCCAAATTCACACATCACTGTAACCAGAACAAAAACAAAATACAAACAAACCAACCAATCATTCTGAAAAGAGTGTTGCTTTCATGTAAGCTTCCTCTATCATACTGGCAATATTAAGTTCATCACCTGAAATATCATTCCATCAAGTAACTGGCATTCCAGTTTTAACAGCAGTTTTTCAAATGGCTTTAGTTTATCTTCTTGAATCCCAAACTTAGAAGGGTTGTGATGGACAGATTTTAGCAGCCTGTAAGGGGTAGGATACAGCACACTTAAAACATAGTAACAGTTTTATCATATCCTACACTATTTTGATAAGGAATTTTGATTCCCCCCTCCTGCCCTTAGCAGCAACCCCAGATGTAAAAAAAACCAAAACCAACCAACCAAACAACCTACAAAAATACACTAGGTTTGTATAAACAATTTGCATTTGAGTAACTTCCATTTATTTCAGTTTTCAAGGACTGAGTAAATATTCTACTAATTCAGCTACCTTTATAATTGTTGACTCTTCAGCTTTTACTTAAAGTACCACGCCTTCTTAAAGCTGTACACTCATTCCCATGATCAGTATGGACAGGGATAATCTTAGCTCAGTTCTTTACACAACTAAGTTTTTCACTGAATATTCTTTAAACGCCACCAACTATTACATTGCTTGCCAAGATGCTTACCCTGCACTGGAAATGCAACATTCATACTCACACAAAAATATTTACTGGTGCCCTTAGGACACTGTGGGAGCTTAGCCCTACTCTTCACTTAAATTTCTGGAGAGATTACCAAAATCCACGTTCCCACACTGACTTGGAACATATACAGATGCTTATGTTTTTATCTTTTAGGTTGTGGGAGTACTTTTCACATCAGACACACCTCTTGTACATGGTCCAGTGATCTTTCAGTGTGGCATGATTGTCAATTATTTCATCCAGAGTGATCAAGATTGTGAGCAACTCTCCTAGATGCTCATACATTGCCTGTTGGTGAAGGGAAAAAAAAAAGAATGAAAACGACTGTAGTTATTAGAAAGTTTACTGCAGTCATATGTGGCACATAAAATTTCAGTTCCTTTCAATATATTTTCAGCCAACAAGGCATCATCTAGAGAGTTAAACAGGAGAATTTGTGGTTTGGCAGCTTAAAGATTTTACTTGTATTGACAAAAGAAATATTAAAAGGATGTCTACACACAAACTAAATTCCTTGACAATGAAGACGCAATTTTTAAAATTGTCTATGCAGAGGCACACATTGCAATATGGGAGCATGCAAACACTTTGTTGCTAAGAAACTTAGAATATGTCAGACATGGAGACACCAAGCCTTCCCATACAAGGGCCAGAAAAAGCTGGTTAATAAAATAAAACCTTTACATTGAAAGCTGTACTCAAAAGTCACTTTCATGCTGTTTTTCTCAGGATTAATCATCAAGACCTATATATATTAACACAAACAAAAGATTTCCAAATCATTCCCACCTGAAAATGAACTCCAGATGTCTCTATAATTTTAGGTGCATTCCTGTAAATAAAATCAATATTTTAATGTCTTTTTAATCCTTAAAACAGATCATATTTATCAATTCTGTATCATGGTGTATTCCCTGTTTCCTGGGGTATAATTTTCTTCATTAACATAGTAACTTCAGGAAACAAAAGAACATCAAAACCTGATTAAAAGTATATGCTATGTGAAATCTGTATGCTCTGATCAAATTTAATACAGCATTTTTAAAGATACAGCATGTGACTGGTTGAAACCACCAAGTATATTCAGTGCATACCTGTGTCAGCAATTCCCAATTCAGTTATGCAAATAGCCTTGACACACCCAGAGAATAAAATTACTTTGTATTTAATCAAGCCATGTCCAAGCTTGATCCATCCAGCACCACACAGGAAGTTATATACAAGCACTATTTTTTCTGAAAATAAAACAAAACCACTTCCATAACCATTTATGAAACCCAAACTTGCACAGCAAAGCATACTATCTCTAGCCAACAATATTCCAAAAATAACCATGCTTTAAATAGAACATTCATATTTTATACATTTAACTCTACATAGTTACAATACAACATTTTAGGGAATAATTACTTGTTGCTGGTATACAGAACAGCCAGCTGATGCACTACATTCACCACCACTTCGTAACATCGGGTAACAAAGCAAGACAGCTCCTGAAATACAAGAAAATAAAATGCATATAAATGTATAGATCCTCCTCACACATAAGTTGTCATTACACCAAAAACACTGAACATAAACTACAGAATATGCAGCCAAAGCTCCAAGTATATCCCTAACCCAAGTCAGTGGACAGATCTACAGCAGGATGGAAAACATCCCGCTAACAGGTCTGAAAAAGGGTCTGGGACTAAGCTAAGAAACTACCAAACACAAGCTTCCAGTACAACTCTGACAACTTATACTATTGGTTCAAGTTATCAAAGACAGCAAAAAGTGACTTGACAACGGAGCCCAAGTATTTTCAGGGACAATATCCCTGGTAGCAGAGGCTGTGCTTTTTCCCTACTAGATTCAAGAGTCACACTCTGGATGCTGGTAATAGTTAAATTCAAATTAGAAATTACCACAGAAGCCTGTACCTACTGTAAGAGTGATAAACCACAGATTACTGCTTTAAAACAAAGAAAGTCAATGTCTTTGAAAGGTTTGTCTGACAAAGACAGAACTTAGGCTTCATTATGTAACACAAAATGAGTAAGAACATGTCAACTCTGACCATGTAAAGAAGTATCTTAATTTCTAAAATGGATTTTAATATGGCATTCCTTGAACAACAGGATAAATTAATCTGAGTTTCCCTTAACTGCAGTAATATCTGTTCATTAATTTACCTTATAAATCGCATCAGAGAAATGTCAGTTTGTGATGAGTCTAGCCAGTCAGCACACAGATGGCTTTATAGCAGACAGCACACACTGGCTGAACAGTGAGCCTGCCAGTAGACTGGCTAACAGCTGAATTCTGTCTTCCTCTCCATCAAAAATAGATCTTATTTGGGCTTCTGCCTTCTATTAATCACCAGTTTTCACAAAACATTACTTTTTATACTTGCACTGCCCTAACAAATGCAGCTGAAATACGCCAACAGATTCCAGAGGAATGGACTAATAGACAGCTGAGATCATGCTTCCTGGCGAGGCAGCACCAGCTGCCATTTTAAAATTTCTGGAAAGTAGTCCAATTCAACAGCACATGCATATTAGAAGCTACATAATACAGACAAGATTGCAATTTTAAACTAATGTTTCAGAGTGTTATTTTGATAGTATTTTTAAAAAATTTTTTGACCTAGCAAGTTTGAGGCTACTGCATCTAGCTAATCCAGAAGAGCCAATAAACCAGTACATGGACATCAGCTCTATCAAAGCAACTTTTCACCTTTTTGTCAACTTCATATTTCCACACCACCCCTGGATATGCTTATAACACTGACCAGAACAGAATTTCCTAATCTAAGGATGTAGAACACTGAATGGATTTAGGAGAATCCAGCTGCTAAAAAAGAACAAACTTCATAAGCAAAACAGAAAATGAAAGATGAAACCTACAAAGTTGGTAAGACAAAGAGCTTGGAAAATGGGAAAGAAAACCCAAGAGATCTTAAGAATTCACTGCACTTCAGCATGGTAAAGGAAGTTGAGAAATTACTTCCTACAGCATTTGTCTTGTCATGACACAGAAAAAGTTTAATGCCATGCTGCACAATCAGAACAGGAATTTTAGCTCTTGTTAAACCAGGATTTGTTTCTACATTCTGGAAGCTTCCTCTGTATTCTCTACTTCACCACAGCTACTTCTTTAAAAGCAACATTGCATAAAAATAGAAACATTTTGGGAATGGGACAGTCACTTAAGTTATATTAAAGACAAAAAACTCCACAATAGACTGAAACCCAAGAACACAGGAAATCCTCAGAATAAAAACAGATCCTGTTTTCATGCAAAGGATCCCAAACAACCAAACTGTATAAGAAATAAGTGTTCTTCCAAAAATGTTTGAAGGAGATACAAGCAATTTTTTTCAGGTATATACTTTGATTTTGCTTTCTTTTACCAGCTAAAAAAAACCAATAACCCATAACCCATTTCTAATGTTCAACGAACACGAAAACTTACTAAACAAACTCATAAAACCAGCTATCTTTAAAATCAGATAAAAGCAACCTCAATTTTTCTTCTCCTGCTAAAATCTTTTAAAGTAAATTCTAATCCCTTTTCTCACTAGATTTCCTGAAAGATGTATAAAAATTCCCCAAACAATGTGGGATACGTCAGCTGGCTGTGACAGGTCTGCAGGCAAAACACAGTAACATATCAAATGACTGCTATGCCTTTCAGCAAAATGCAAACAGGATATGGCAGACTGTTAAATCCATTTTGCAAGTAAAATTAAGATTATAATTGCTGTCAAACAATCAAAATATACTCTACCTGCAAGAAAGAAACAAATCTTCCCATCTGTATTTGGCAATCTCCCTCCACCATGCTGGAGTCTGTGGCTTAAAAGAGAAACATTTGTCAACATTTTCTTAAACTTGTGTCGTACCTGTTAAACTAACATTGAAGCTTGCCCTCCAAGCCATTTATTTGCCATACTAGTAGTAGAGTGCACTATTATAAGTGTATTGATGGAGCCTCAAAACCTCCTCATTTTGCTTTCCTAAGATGGACTTATTTTTGGAATTTCTTTTTCATTAAAAACTACATGGTTTATAAATTAGATACAAAGCTGGGAAAAGGCTCCATCTGAAAGAAAAGGAATAAACCCCATTCTATGTAACCTCATATGTTTCCATTTTTAAGAAATTTGCATGAAAATACCAGGTATTTATCTTGCAAGAAACATCCAGATGTTTTTTATTGAAAGAATGTAGTACATGATTAACCAGAAAGAATTAATTTTCTTTTTCCTACATATCATTCTGCACAAAAGAACAGGCTTACCACCATAGCTTCACACCATTATCTGCATGACACAGAACACAGAAATACAATAATTACATCACCCATGCCAAACTGTTTCAGTCATCTGGAGTGGTTTGAACATCACCTGACAAAATACTGTCTTTTCCATGTGACAACAGATAGATGCTATTGACTTGAGATTCTTTTTCTGGGTCACTCTGAGCAAGAAAAACTCATGTAAAATTACAAGTTTACCTGCCTTCTTGCAACAAAAAACATATTTTTTTTACAGCTGTCAGAGACTAAAGGAGTCTCCATACTTCTCTAATATGGAGCTCTGGGACAGGATACTAAACATTGCATTTCTTCCCCTTTACACATTTTATGTGACCTTTAATCTCCTTAATGTGTGTCCCAAAAAACCTCTTTCCAACTACCTGAAGTTCCTAGACTAGTCCTAGCCACTGCAAAGACAAGATGGGGAAAAATATTTTCTTTACACAGATGGAAAAAATCAGCATAGTATTTGTTTAAATTTCAACCATCCTTGAGCCAGTAACTTTGCCAGTTGTTTAACGTAAGCAAGCTTGCTGTTACCAAAGAAAATGCTACAAGTAGGGATTCAGAAATACAGAACATAATTTCTGCACTCCTACCTAACTCTGAGAGGGCTGACCTCTCAATTCCTGCCATTTCCAAGCATTCCCTGCACAACACCCATCAGGAACAAACTGCTGCTGCAAGATATTAATCTGTTACAGTCTGACTTTTTCATGCTAGAGACATGGAAAATTCTGAGGGATCTCCCAGTATCATTTTGGTAGCATATGAGTTTAAAACATTTAAAACCATATCTGATAAGACATGCAAGTCAGCCAAGAAAAAAAGGAAAAAAAAAAACAAAAAAACAACCACACCAAAAAACTTCATAACATAACTTCACATAACAAGCTACCAAATCCCCCACTTTTCCATGCTCCTTAACCATGACAGTTATCTTATATAGCACTTAAAAGAATGATAAAGACTCCCAAGCTCAAAGATTTCACATTTCCTCATATTTCCAACACACTCTCTCATCTCTTGAAAAGCTTTAAGAATGCCGTTTTACAATATTACTATGCAATGCCTTTTCCTCTTTCAAATTACTGGAATAGACACAAAGTTGGGTGATAGGTCTCTGAAGCAACTCTTGAATATATTCAATCCTTATGACCAAGATCTGTGCTTATTCCTACACTAGTATCCCTTAAGGTGGAAGCTTAAGGCCAATCATTCAGGAGTTACCAGTTCAACTCCAAGATAAAAACCAGCTTTCACCTAAAGCAGTGTCTCATGATCTGTGAACTGACTTACAATTACTTGTGCCCATCTTATACCATTGTCTAAACGTGTAGAGTGAGTTACCTGCACTGGAAGGGCAGGTGACATCAACACACTCCAACTTATCTTGGAATATCAAGTAAGTACAGAGGGTAGGACTTGGGTCAAGTTATTTATTAATGGTTTCGTTGTTTTACTACAATTAAATCACAGATTTATTGTTTTACTACAATACATGTAGTACATGTATTGTAGTACAATAAATGTAGTACAACAATGTCAACTGTAGTCTCAAAAGAAAGTTGGATTAGGATGTGTTTAGTATGAAAAATGTTTTCAATGTCATACCTTGCAAAATAGCTGCTGCAGTAGACAAGCTGTATGTAAGACATTTAATACAACCTCAGCACCTCACACTCCCTACTTCCAATGTTAATTAAGGTTGCAACAAAATTTCCAGTTTATGTAAGAATACTTAATGCAGGGCTTTACAGGTAAACCTTATCATCTTAAGCCAACTCAGGACAGCTACAAGACACTAACATATGTCCCTATACCCTCAAAGTTTTCTATCTGGTGCACATCACAGAGAAAGCATGTATCCATGTAATAAAATTACAGTTGTTGTAGCATTTAATATAACCTGCAATAAGCAATAATACAAAACTACATACTTTTACAGTAAAGGGAGCTACTTACCTCCTTCTCCATAAAACAAGAGGCCATTATAAAATTTAGTTTCTGCCTAACAACAAAAGCAGAAATTTGGTTTTTAATAAATAGGATATATGTAATCAAGCTAAAAAATTATTTAGACATATTTTGTTTCTTTACTAATAAAAATAAATCTATGTATCAGCTTGCCAAAATGCAAAACTTTTCACATACAATAATAAAAGTCAGCTGAATTTACCTCATATTTTAACTTCTTGATTTCACAGCAAAGAGCAGCATACACAGTTATAACTTTGTTTAGAACCTAGACTCAAAATGAGGGAAAAAAAATCACACATATTACAAACAAGTTCACAGTTAGAGGGCTTGGGTTGAGACTGAATAACTTTTTTTTTTTCCTTTAAGCATAAAGTGCTTACCTTGTTTTCTGTCTTTATGAGCTCCAGTAGGGAGGACTGTTCATAGGGCAAAAGCTAAAATTAAAACAAAAAGCAAACAAAAAAACACTAAACAACCAAAGAGAAACAACAAATCAGCAACTTTAGAAAACCTTAGTCAAAAATACATTTATCCAACCAGGTAAGTACTCCCCCCAGTTTAACCTCAAACAGGGTCAGTAATAAGAGAGCTACAATTGCACATTACTGACAGCCTGTACTGCAGGAATCCTTCACTCTTCGCCTTCACTGGAAATACAACAGCAGGTATGTTACATAGAACTTACAACAATTTACTTTAAAAACTTGAAAAGCTAAAGCATGGTCATTATGGCATTATGTAGGAGAAAAACAGCTCAGGAAAACTAAAACAAGAATTAATAATCCCAAATGCCAGAAACAGGAAGAAGAAAATACATCTGTATGCAGGCACTGACAATTCATACTTAAGTCAGCCTGATTTTGACTAGTCCATAAACATGCAGTACTGTGGCCCTACACATAGTTTGTTCAAATTATTCAGACAGATGATTGTTTGAGAGTGCACCTTCAGCACAGACAAGTTTCATATGGCAACAAAAGCACTTTTAAATCATGTCTGCAAATCCAGTGACGAGGAAAAGCTAATGCTCCACAGAGGACAGAGAATTTGTGACCAAGAAAACAGCCAATACTGTGCCAAGGCCATTAGGTCAAAACACAACCTATAAATACACACACAGGTCACTCTGCAGTTTTACAACTATTAGTGAGCTCTCCTGGAGCCCCAGCCCCCAGATAAAAACACTAACAGTCACAGGGAAGAAGACTGTTGAAACCAGCCTTCCCAACACATAAAGAATTAGAAATTAATTTAACTTTTGCTAGTATCCATAAAACTAGAAAATAATAATACGAAAATTTCTTCTCACATGATATGCACCAATATATTAATTATATGATAATTAAAATAGTATTGGATAGGTTTCTCTAACACAAAAATCAAAATTTTAAGAGCACAAATGCATCAAGCTTTTACTTCTGAGGAAGTTTTCTTGAAGGAATGGACAAACTAGGAAAGTAACAATTGCAATGTATATTAAAAATATGAAGACCTTCAAAGCAATGGGATCAAGACTGAAGTCCCAAACATCTCCAACAGAGTCATCCAAAGCATCTTCAATTCTCTTCAGCTGAGATGTATATTCCTCAAGAAATTTTCCATAATTCTTCAACTGCACTTCAGCATGAATTTCTGAGAATTGATAACATTTTTACGGATGATTCAATAAACTGCAACGTCAAAAAATGTTATTAAAAAACATTTAACCTGTTGTTATTTAACTTTAGTCCAGTATTCCTTATTTTGCTGTGGCATTTTCCTTTAATAAAATTCAGATTTAATACAAAGTTTTTATTTGTTTAAAAACAATCCTGTAGCTCAGTTGGTTTAAAAGAAATTCAAATACTACCTGAAGAGTAACAGACATCTAAGCAGTATCCAGAAAATTATTTTTTAAAGGCACATGTATTGTTAAACTAAGATGTTAACAATCACATAAGGCGCTGAGCAGAGAAATTACTATAGAAATTGTAACACAGCAGGTGACCCTACTCACCAGCTGAACCAGTACATATACATTTATATAAAAACTTTGAGGCAATGAGTCTAATAATTTCTGCCTGAGTAGCAGTTGAATTTCCAGCAATCCTCTTTCCACTTCTCCTTGGCACCTCTCAGTAAGTTATTTGAGCACTATATGGAAAGGTTATGGCTTTTAGTCATTCCCCTCCACTTTCAAATTCACCCTTTTCAGAATTCTTCTTCTGCTGGGCATTGAAATGCACAGCTGTCCTGCTAACGTCAGGGGAAAGCAGGTTCAAAGGGACAAATAGGTTCAAAGGCTAACATTCAGATGGTCAAACACCAGCAACAGTGGTCTTACTTAGCAAAGTAAATATAAAGGCAGTTGGTACAAAAAAAAGTTTCATGCTCTGTATCCTAAGCTTTTTTATTTCCCATATTAAGATGCTCCCCACTCCTCCTCAAATGATACACAATTACTGACTTAGCTGCACAATCTGAACAGAGTAAATGATTACACCTCAAGCCTTCTACACTGAGGAAGTACAGTCCTTTTGCAGAAGACTAAAGTGTCTTCCCACTTCCTAACAGTTTGTGATCTTCTGGTATTTGTTGAAATTAGAATTATCTAAAAAAGAGAATGAAGGTCAGCTGAACAACTGAGCTTTTCTTACACAAGAATTCAGCCGTCATGTAGCTTTGTATGTGCCCTTTTCACATTTCAGCAAGCAGACTGGCCTAGAAAGTTATAAATAATATATTCTTTTATTCTGCACATTCAACCTCTTACTCATCCTCATGGCAAACAACTGAGCCATACGGTAGCTGATGGCTACTTCAGTGGGAGAGCACTGCTGAATCAATTATCATTGAAACATTTTTTGCAGAAAGAAAACACCTGACTGAGAAACTGCACCAGGCAGTTGAGATTTTTGAGAAAGGGAGGAATGAGTAAAGACAATTTGATGAGGACTATGGTTGAGATTGAGAAGGAGAAATTACTGCAGTGAAGACCTGAATTAATTTTAAGATAATACTTTGAAAGCAGCAGCAATGCCAACCATAAAGACACAGAGACTGCAAAGCCTACCCAAGGAGCACAGCACACTCTCCCACATTAATGGCATTAGTGCCATTGAGCTCTAGCAGTACCTGCAGCCTAGACAGTGCACAGGCATTGTCAAGATTAGGAGACTGAATTTCATGTAGGAGAAGAAGCAAGTGAACAAAACACTCTTTATCAGCAGCATTCCAGGCACTGATGGGTAGCCCTTAAGTTTTATCACCATACTATTCTATTCAATCAAATCCATCTCATCCTTCAGGTTCTTTCCAGTGCATCTTCTGTAAGCTCTGCTGCAGCAAACCAGTTTTTACTGGCTTTTTTAAAACCAGCTGGCTTTTAACCATCTACCATGTCAGCTTCAGTGCTTTTCCGCTAGAAAATCTGGAGAAGGGGAGACACTAAAAAGGTATGTTCTGATACTTCCCCAATCACATCTCCTCCCTTCACATAAAAGACAAACTAAGAAAAAAAACCTGACAGTCACTGGGGCTTCATAGAAAGAACAGAAAAAACTTCAGTGTCATACAAGAGTAGGAAATTGTCACTGCTGTTCAAATCAGCTCCTATGAAACAAAAACATTGTGCATTTCTCAAACAAAATCTCACAAAAGCACTCTGCTAGAGATCCACAGACTGTCACCTTTCCAGCAGATAAATTATGGATTTGAGCAACACTACAGCTCATTAAATACTTCCAAATACTTAATCATTGATAGCCATCAATTTGCTATCATCTATAAAATAAGAGGCAGGAATAATTTCTCATTTTCTTAGTGAGACAAGAGAGTGGAAGCTCTCAGCTAGCCAGAGATAGGCAGAGTTGCACAGATAAAAAATTACTTGCAGATGAGGGAAGCTTTTTAAGATGCAGAACATTTTTCCTAAATAAACTGACTCACACAGAAGAAAAAAATTAAATATCATAGAAAGCAGATATCCTTTTCTTCAGACAAGCATACATACTTCATAAGGTATCATGTGTTTACAATAAAGTTTGATTTCGTTTCTCCTCAGGTGATAAAACTAAAGCATTATAGTTGGAACAGTGCAAGAGATCAACTCAGCAGCACAGATCCTTCAACTTAATCTTAACTTCTTTATATCAATATTCAATTAACTCATCGGCAGCAGGATCTGCAAGTGCCATAGCCATACATATCTAGGACAGAGCTGTAACAAACATACTTAGCATCTCATGTCCTCGGTTGAGAAAGTTGTAATTGCTAAATGGTAGTGAAAAGTAATGGAAAGTGAAAGTAGACAAGAACAGAAAATGCCTTTCAAGCCACAGGATTTTTCTTTGGCTTTTCTCTAGAACACTGTGTGCTGTTCTGGATGGAAGATCAGCCTGTTTCTTCACCCTCGAGATGATGATAGCGGGGCATATTAAGTCACATCAATTTTCTGGAGTTGCACTTCATGTCAAAGTAGCAGAGTTCTGGTACTTTGAGTAAAAGCCACATTTTCCTTTCCACAACTACAGAACTGATAAAAAGCTCTGCTCAGGACAGCTGCAGTTTGCACCAAAATCCAGACTAAACGAACATGGCATTAACAGTATAATCCCTTGGGATAACATTGTATGTGAAACAGTTGGTCCATGACTGACATATTTTCATAGCAACACCTGGTATAATTAATTTGGCACAGTTCAATTTACAGTGTGTATTACAGTGTGACAACCATATAAGTTCCCTGTTTAGAAACTAGGTCACCTCCACAGGCTGAGTAAAACGTGGATTTCACGTACCCATCGTGAAAGACTTCAGCATCGTAAGATCTTATTCAATTATATTTTAAAGGTGAAACTGCAAGTGACCGCCCACCTCCCGTGACAGAGAGCCTTTACCAATGAAAGCTGAGTACAACTTACTGCTGACAACATATCTTGATGCGACTTGTCTGGATAACCAAGGAAGCCAATGCAAAAATTTGTGAGCCACGAGAAATGCCCGGGAAGGAAAGAAAGACGGTTCCCACGACAGGCTCGGTTCGTGCAAGAGAAGAGAGGGTGGCACAAGGAGCCTGGCCCTGCCCGCCGCTCAGGGGGCACCGCAGGCGACTCCCCCGAGGGAGCACAGGATGAAGGGCTGGAAAAGCCACTCCCTCCACCCCAAAACAACCCCGACAGCTACGGAGAGGGTGGCGGGAGCAAAGAAGGTCACGGCGGCCGCCCACCCCGCAGGCCGGGCCGCAGGGGGATCAGCGGCGGGCTGGCGGCTGGGGCGCGGGGCAGGGTCCGCGGGCGACCCGCTGAGGCGACCGCGCTCAGCTCCCGCGACTGCTTCCTCCCCCTCCTCCCTCCGTTCCGTTCCCGGAGGGGATGCAGCGGGGCGGTCCGGGGGGACCAGGGGCTGCCCAGCCCGCGCCTCCCCCCGCTCCGAGGCGGCTCCCGCCGCACACCCGCCGGCCCCGCCCCGCCCGGCCCGCCCTCCGCGGGCGCTCACTCTGTGAGCCGTCGTCGAGGCGGTCGAACTCCCAGTCCGGGGACAGGGTCTCCAGCGCCATCGCCGCCGACCCCGGCAGCAGCCGCCCGGCCGCCCCTGACTCAGGCGCACGGGACTTCCTGCCCCGCGCCCGCGCCGCACGCCGGGAAATGGAGGCGGAGGGGGAGCCTGGGCTCCGGGAGAGGAGGCGGGACAGCGCTGGCGCCGCTCCGCCGCCCCTCCCTGCTTCCCTCCTTTTCCTCCCTCCCTCCCTCCGCCCGCCGCCCGGGGGTCGGCGCCGTCAGCGGCTGGGGGAGAGCGCAGGCAGGCCCCGCGGGGCGGGAGGCGCTGCCCGAGTGCCCAGGGCAGGGCAGGGCAGGGATTCGCTCTCCCCGCTCCTTCCTCAGACCCCCGGCAGCTTGAGCCGGTCGTGCAGGGCGAGGCAGGGCGGCCTCGGACGCACTGGGACTTTGGGGGCTTTCCTGCTTTTCCCCAGCGCAGTCCCTGTGACACGGGCTCCGTGCCTCTGGCAGGAGGGAGCGCTGTGCCGGCTACAGCGTGCCAGCCCCCGCCGCCGCCCCGGCGCTTCCCCCTTGGGCTGCGGGGGGAAGGAAGCGGTGCGAGGAACCGGCCCTGCTGTGCCACGGTCTGGAGCTCAGGGACAGCTGCAAAGCTCCCGCTAACCATCCTCCTGTCATTTGTGGTCACAAGGGCCATGAGGTACTTACTTACGTGCCACTTTTTTTTTTTTTTTTTTTTTTTCCCGGGGCCCTAGGGGTTGTAAAATCAGAATAAAAATACAAGTACTTGGGATAGGGAGAGAAGTAGCCATTCAGGGCCATTAATAGCGACCACAGCAATTTCATTAGGTCAGCAGAATCTGTAGCATCAGCAGAAAAGGAAATGGCTTTCAAATGCAGTATCACCAGGAGCATCAGCAATGTCAGTGGGGAAAGAGCAATAAAAATAGCAACCCGGATGAGAGATGTATCAGTAAGTGCAGGACCATCCATAAAAGCTAATTCAGTAATGCAACAATTCTGAAAATAGCACCTACTTTCTGGTTGCTTTATGACTAAAAGGAAGCCGTCCTTTGGAATCTGTTGATTTTAAAGTTTCTAGGGATGAAAGATCTGGTTCATTGCAAGATCATTTTTATTGATGAGTTTTTCTTATTTTCTTATTTAAAGTGCGTTCTATGAGTCCACCTTGAGATCAAATTTAGCTTTGTGTGAAATGAAATAAACAATGTTTGGAATAAGTTGTTTGTTGTGTTGGGTTTTTTTACTGGAGAGAGCTCTGGCTTGAAACATGTCAAATAAGCACGATGTAAATATGTCAATACTCCACTCATTGGCTCTTATGCAAAATGAAGATTGGGTTCACATTGGGTTTTAATGGAACTAGAAGTTTAATTGTGCAGTACATTGACAGCTGGCAGTGAACAAAAGTGTGTCTAAGGAGATGATGAATATCACACAAAATGAAAACACATTTTAAGGATTTCATTCTGTCTGTGCAGCTTTAATTGAACTCAGTATAGCTGCTATACTTTTATTCAAAGCCCATGTATGTCTTCCAATTCTGAAAAATGAAACAAAAAAAATAGAAGAGTTTTCTTTACAAACTTTCTTTGAAACAAGCACTCTTTCTTTCAACTGTGTAAGACTGCACATTAACAGAGGCTTTCAGACTGCTTAAAAAAGTAGTTATCAGGCCTTTTGCTCTCAGTCTCAGAAAAAGATGTCCTTCAATTCTGCAGTATGGTACAAAGGAGAAACCTGCAAAACTGGCACTTGGTAGAGCCCTCACTTCCCATATCTAAAGTGAATTTGTAAAGTAAATATGGCAAGGTTGCGAGATTTTCAAAACTGGATGCAAGGTAATCCGACTGGGTGGTCTGTGCAGTGGCCACCCCAATGGGCACACTGTCATCCCCATAGCATAAGTGATGTAACCCTTATTTTAAATGTGGAAAAAGAAAATTATTTCAAAAGAAAATGCATTGAAATATAGCATTTTTTTTTTTAAATTGAGCAGGAGACTCCATAAATGAAAAAAATTTACAATTATTCTCAACTGCACCGGTTAAATTTATGCTGCCTTTCATGGTCCATTTATTTAAATGACTGGTAATTGGCTTTTCCTTCGGCACCCTAGGTGGCAGTGTTTTGTTGCTCACACTTCAATTATTTAGGTCATTTGTAGATTCTGCTAGAATTTCTGTTTTCTCTGAAAATCTGATTTGAACTTTTATCTTAAAGCTCACTGGCTGGCTTGGATTTGATTGATAAGTTTGTTGAGCTGTCTTATCAGTGAATGGCTTTCTGCTGTTCACTCATGCGAAATTGCTGACATTTTATAAACACAATTTCTGAAAGTTAGGTGACACAGCTTCCATTTTTACCAGGAAGCTTTTATGTGATACAAACTCATAGGAATTGCTAAGATTGCTCAAATATCTGTTAGAATCTTCAGGTAATAGAGTAGTAAGGAAAGTCTTTAGACTTTGTTTAATAGACAGTGATTTTTAAGCTGGTCATTACTGAACCCAGACATAATTGATAAAACAATTATTTCTTTTGGTCAGGCCAAAATCATCATGAAATTAAATTTCATAATAGACTTTCACAGGAACTGAGTAAAATGTGAACACAAATATGTTCCAGCTGAAATTACTTGTTACACTTGAGTACTGGAAAGGGTAGATGAGAGAATAAAGTCCAAGATATATCAGAATTAGTATGGTACTATGGCTGTTTTATTTATTAATTGGTTAGGTATCTAAGGATTCATAAATCGACAGGCATCTGATTCCATGAGATATTAAAAATCCTTTTTCCTTTGAAATAATCCCAATTGAAAATATCATAATACAATGAACAATAGTTGTCTGGTATTTTAAACAGTATTTTTCTCATATTTGAAACCACCCATCTGATATTTTAACCACCAAAACAGAAGCCATTTTTTTTCAAAAACAAAACCAAAAACAAACAAACAAAAAAAAGGTAGAAAAGCACCCAGAGCAGACACAGCTTCTTAGGTATCCAGGCAAAACTCCACCAAGATTGAGAGTTAGTAATTCCTAAAATTGTAATTACTTACAGGAGAAAGAATTTTAAGCTTGCTCTATCTGCAGAAACCCAACTATTTTCTATGTTCCTTGTCTGTGGAATGTTTGATGCTTAGCTCTGGACATTTTAAATCAAATAAAGATCTTGCTCAAAGTTTTTGTGGCAGAATTCCCAGAAAGAATTTACCATCTGAGATCTGCTCTTTGCAGCTCCACTCCACTAAGATAGCAACAACTTTTGCAGATGTAGTTTCTACTCAATCATATGGAATCTGAGAGACTTCCATTTATCCATGTGACTAAGGCATCTGCACATGATAGTTCTTGCCACTTGTTAAACTGGTGAAATAATCTTCTTTCCTCATCAAATGTATGCCTCCTTTTGGTTAGTCTGGAAAAATGGAATGTCAAGTGTAAGGTTTTAAATGATTAATGTCTAGTTAAGACCCCTTAACGGGAAAAAAATTTACAAATTTAAATATAAACGTTGCAGAGATAACAGACAAAGTAACTTTCCCATAAAATTTTGCTTTAGCAAGTGGAAAAACATGAAATGTTTTTATTGTATAAAATTTTAGTTGAAACTTGTCATGCAATTAACATACTTAGTGAACAAACATACAAAGCCTTACTTTATTTTTCTAATTACTCAGTCTTTAAAACTGGGTGAACTCTAAAGTACTCCTGAGGAATTTGAGTCTGAATTATGACCAAATCTTTAATCATCATGAAAAGCCCCATCCAGGCTGATTTCCAGCAACAAAAAGCCTATGCAGAGCTAATTTAGTTAATTACTGAGTCCCAGGGCATGATTTTCAAAAGAAAGCAAACCCTGGAAGAGTCCAAGCAGTTTCCCAAGCACTTCAGTATGTGCACACTGTGTGGAACAGTCTTTCCTAATGATCTTGCCAAGTCTTGATGATGTCCTCAAAGACACTGAGTAGCTTCTGCTTCACAGAAATCAATAAGGATTTAAAACATTCAGCTGCATTAGGTCTTATATTTCTTCTGTACATTTCTGTACATGCAAACACATTTGGCACATTTTGCTATTGTACAAGCATGTTTAATTCCTGAATAGCTTTTGTAAACATATCCGCCCATCAGTTTTTGCCATTTGCTGACATACATCTCTTGAAAATTTGTGACATAAAGGAAAAGTCCATGCTGAAAAGTTTACTATGGGTAATTGCAGATTTTTTTCCCAGAGCTAAACTTTGGCTTTATGAAAAAGGATCAGAACTGGAAGGAAAAAAATAATTAAAAAAAGGAAACTTAATGTATAAAATGTGTTCCAGGCAAAGTAAGCACTGGTGTTAGGATTTTTTTCCCCAGATGAAGAAGAAATTAATAATTTGCAAGGTACTTTTGACACTGGGATACAAAACTAATGGGTAATACTTTGTGCCACTTTTTCCAACAACTTAAAGCCCAGAGGAACGCACTATAACTGTTACAATACTTAACACTGGTGTTGGAGTCTACTAGGTCATACAAGACCTATCTCAAAGAGATCAGTCTAATAATTTTCTGGATACCAAAAACCTTGATTGTAACTATTTGCGCTTGAAATTCTACACAAGCAATTTGTTAAGTGGTTGTAAAAACCCATTTGTATGAATTCTTCACTCTGATTTCAAGTGTGAAGCTGATGGTATGAAGGTACCATCCTTGTCTGTGTTTTAGCACATCTTCATGGCCATTCATGTCCCTGCCCCTCTTATTGCTATGAAATCTAAAATAAAGCCCATGTCTTCCTTCCCTGCTCTATATAACTCTTCTTTTATGCTGACAGCAGACACCTCCTCTTGTGCTTTTTCCCTTTTGTCACCTAGTATTTTAGTAGTGTGTGGAGTAAATGGAGGTCTATCTTTTTCTCACTAGGCTAGGAATTCTGTTTGGAGATGGTGTGCCAACTAAGTAAACCTTGGTGCTTTACACTTGCATTGTTGCAGTGTCTATGTTGTGTGTGTATAGGGAATAGAGCCACAGGTTATTACAAATTGCTTACCCAGGAAAACCAGGCATTTTGCCAAAAGCTTGTGTG